TGGAAAGGCACCATTAATGCAGAGAACTATGTTCAGGTTCTAGAACATATGCTCCCATCTAGACGTCATAGAACGGCGGAGAATTTCGCTGGAGGGAAGGTACCCGTATCCGCCAGTGGATCAATCCAGCTCCTGCTTGCTGAAGGAGCAAGGGGGAAATTCGCTGAGGGAGAGGTATCCGTGCTCCCACTTGCCTGAGTAGCAGCCCTGCCTTCCCTTGCCAGAGGAGCTGGAATGGTGGAGGGCTTCTCTGATGGCAATATATCTAGACCCGTTTCTGCCACGACCAGACCCAGGTGGACGCTCCTCACTCCAGTCCTCCAGAGGGGTTCACAGCTCCATTTTCTGCGGCAGCCCCAGTCCCACCATCTTCTGGCCCCATCACCTGCTGCAGCTCTTGTCCCATCACCTGCTGAAGCTCTGGCCCCATCACCTGCTGCAGCTCTTGTCCCATCACCTGCTGAAGCTCTGGCTCTAACACCTGCTGTACCCCTGACCGCATCACCTGCTGCAACTCTGGCCCCATCACCTGCTGCAACTCTGGCTCCATCTCCTCCGTCTATAGCCCCGGTCCCGTATCCTCCAGCTGCAGCCCCGGTCCAGTCTCCTCCAGCTGAAACCCCGGTTCGGTCTCCTCCAGCTGTAGCCCCGGTCCCTGGTTCCCCAACTGCAGCCCCGGTTCCTGGTTCCCCAGCTGTAGCCCTGGTCCTGTCTCCTCCAGCTGCAGCCCTAGTCCCTGGTTTCCCAACTGCAGCCCTGGCCCCTGGTTCCCCAGCTGCAGCCCCGTCTCTGATCCCCGTTCCTAGCTCTTTAGCTACAGCCCCGGTCCCTGGTTCTCCAGCTGTTGCCCCGTCTCGGTCTCCGTTCCTGGCTCTTTAGCCACAGCCCTTGTCCCTGGTCCACCTGCTGCAGCCCTGACTCCGCCACCATCTGCTGCAGCCCTGACTCCACCACCTGCTGCAGACCTGGTTCCTGGCTCTTCTCCAGAGGCCCCCAGCTCATCTGAGGTCTTCGCTCCCGGCTCTTCTGCTGAGGTGCTCGTTCCCAGCTCTTCTGCTGAGATCCACTCTACCGCAGAAGATCCTGGCTCTTCGGCTGAGGTCCTCTCTCCCAGCTCTTCTGCTGAGATCCGCTCTACCACAGAAGATCCTGGCTCTTTGGCTGAGGTCCTCTCTCCCGGCTCTTGGGCTGAGGTCCTCGCTCCTGAGTCGTCTCTGGAGGTCCTCGCTCCCGGCTCATCTCTGGAGGTCCTGCTAACATTATTAAGAACATTTGATTTACCTGCTGTAAAACAGCTACTGATTATCATGGAGTAAAGTCTGACATCGTCGACTCGGTTCTGGTCCACTCTAGGGGTTGAACGACTACAAAGTTTTTAACTCGACATTAACATAATAAAACTCGAGTAGAACTCAAGTACTTGATGACATCATAGGATCTAAAGATACAAAAACAAATAAATAAATAAAACTGCAAAAAAGGTAATTATTTACAAAAAAAGACCAACAAAACATTGGGAGAGTATATTATGCTCCTACCATTTATCATACTGCAAATAAGTCACAGGAAAAACTAAACTATTAGTTTTTATTATTAAGCTGCAAACGTAAAGAAACATGCAGCACGTCAAAACAAAACTAAAAACTGGGGGGGGGTTGACCACCCTGCACCACCGCCAGCAGTGGTGCACATTAAGTTTAGTTTTAGAGATTAATATGTTTATAGTTTCTTATAGGTTTAGAGATTAATATTTTTTGCTTTTTGTTTGTGAAACAAGGTCAGAGGAAGCTGGTTCTGGTTCGGTCGATTGGACCCGGTGTTACACCATATTCTGTGACCTGCAACAGTGCATGCAACACCGCCCCCTACGGTCACAATATATTGTGGTCACAAAATATGGTGTAACACCGGTTTACAACAAGCTCCAAACAGTCAGGAAGTTGATTCATTTTCTGTTTCCTTACGGTAGTTGAATCAAAAGATTCATCTTTAGTGAAATATTTCCAGACTATTGATGCATTTCTACCTGTTTGTCAAGACTGGGCCTGCTCTGCTCCATCTGTCTGCAGGGAGGAATCCATTTTGTAACCCGCGCCCGGTAATGACGTCACCACAAATTCTCGACATGAAATTAAAAACCTCGATAGGTGTCCTAGGAATCGATGTGTAGATTACTCGAGTAGTCTGTTAAAGCCCTGGTCCACTCAGCGACCGGTGTGGAGCTGTTAGATGAAGCGGTCCCGCTTGGCATCAACTCTGTCGACTCTTATCCACAATCCAGCCAAAAATCCACCTTTAACTTGTTGTTAAATTGTTGTTAGCTGAGCTTTTTAGCTCACAGGAAAGGCACGTGCCGCATGCGCATTAGGTGAAGGTACAAAATTCACAGCGCCATCTAATGACCCGGCATGGTAACTACAGTGGATTCGGGAGGGCGGGGAGGATTCCTTCGGATGCATGTAAACACAAAATCCATCCGTGTCGACGCGGACCTTTTCCTCTAAGTAACATACGAAAAAAACCTACGTTTCCCCTCATCGTGTCCGTGTAAATAGGGCCTAAGGAGGATGACTTGCTGTGGTGTCCCCTGGAGAGGGAAAAGTTGAAAGAAGAAGATAACTACATTTGCTGACCTTGAGTTGTTCTCAACCCAAATACCGATCCACTCAAACACTGATTTTATTTTTTTACAGGTTTTATTTGACAGAGGTGTTTTTTTCCTACCATGTTGGGCTGCATAGTTCAGTTCATCTGAGTACCTGTTGTGTCCTTTTAACAGTAATGCCAACCATTGAGAAGCTGCTTAATGCTGACTGGATGGAGAAACTTCTGGATAAAAACACAGTAGGAACAGGACAACTAAAAGGTCAGTTCTGAGACATCACCAACAACTTCATATGGTTTTTACGCCATTACACCATCAAGTCTCAGTGTTCTATTTTATCTTTTCTACATCAAAATAAATCGTTGGTTACGTACTGTAACCCCAGATTCTATGAATATAGGCGTAGCCCTTTAAGGCTGTCGCTGATGGGTTTATCCCGTTATGCGCAAGCATCGTACTGAAAAAATTAGTCCACGCCCACCTGCTGTGTGGGCCCCACCCGATCCGTATAAATTACGTTAAGAGCGGGTAATCTGCTCCCAAATAGCTTATTCTTTTCTTCAGCTATTCAGGAGCCAGTGAGGCCCGACGCTTAAAGGGCTACGCCTATATTCATAGAATCTGGGGTTACAGTACGTAACCAACGTTCTATGTCATATAGGCTTCGCCCTTTAAGGCTGTCGCTGATGGGTTAAGGGCGAAGCGGATGTGGTCCTCGCCTCACTGGGTCCATTCGAACACAGTAAGAAGCGGAAGCTTGCCCAAAAAACGTCTTGTCATTCAGCTCCCCATGTGCCTAACTACGCATCGCGTAATTGTGTGCCATGCACAGACGCATGTTGTGCAACTATGCGTTCTGACAAGCATGAATGCCCCGGAAAAACTTTCAACGGGGAAGATATTAAAAAGAGGAGGGGGGGGGGGGGCATGAAGCAACTGATTCATGATTGAACAGTATAAACAGATTAATATCAATGAACTGATTATTGAACAATGAACTGATTGGTAACAATAGTCATGAACTGATTAATGACAATAGAACCAAAATCACAGACACAACTTGTGGCTGATAACAACATCTCACACTGTAATGCATGCAGACAGATGTGAGTTTAAACAGAGTTCCATGAGAACAACAATATTCATTCTGTTAGAGCACTAAGGACAGAATGTGTCATGGAACGAGCCGTTACATCACGTAGGTAAAAGCGAATAAATGAGCAGGGTGTTGACCATGCAGCCGCAGTGCAAATGTCCTGCATTGACATACCATTATGCAGAGCAGTCGAAGATGCGATACCCCTGGTTGAGTGTGCTTTGAGATTGACAGGAGGCTCTAGATCTGATGCTCTGTAGGCTTCAGAAATGGCCTCACACAGCCAGTGTGACAAGCGCTGGGTGGATAACGGGCGGCCTGCGGATGCATCTCTATAATGCACAAACAGATGTTGAGTTTGACGCATTGCAGCTGTGCGCGCTATGTAACACGATAACGCCCGCACCGGACAGAGAAGATGAAAAGATGCTTCTTCTTCTGATCTGTGGGGGGGAGGGAAGAATCCCTCCAACGATATCTGTCTCGATTTAAAAGAGCTCGTGATGCTTTTAGGCATAAAGGCTGGATTTGGTCTTAAATCAGCTGAACTACCGTCAGCCTGGATTCTGAGACATGACGGAGCGGCAGAGAGGGCGGATAAATCACTCACCCTCTTAGCGGATGTTAAAGCCAGCAGCAGGGCTGTTTTAAGAGACAGGAATTTAAGTGAGACTTGATCCAGAGGCTCAAAAGGAGCCTTGATCAGGGCTCGCAGGACCAGCGTTAAATCCCACTGTGGAACTAATGGGCGTGAAACCGGTCTATGTCTTTGTACACCTTTTAGAAACCGCTTCATCAGCGGGTGGTTAAAAGCTGTTCTGTCCCCGAACCCTTCGTGGCAGGAAGAGATGGCTGCAGCGTACGTTTTAATCGTGCTGAATGCCAACTTCCTATCCATCAGCTGTTGAAGAAAGGACAGCACGCCACCTAATGGACATGAGGTGGCCTCTAAACCTTTCTCTGTACACCAGCGCTGAAAAGCCGTCCACTTTGATGTGTACAGGGCTGTGGTAGATGCAGCGCGTGAATCTTGGATTGTGCGCACTACCTCCTGAGGGAGACCCATCCTCTCTAAGCGGGACCGCTCAGCGGCCAGACCCATAGGTGCTGGCCTATTTCCGGGTAACTCCTGATCGCTCCTCCTGCTTGAAGGAGAGCATCTTCCCTCCATGGCAGTTTCCACGGGCGACCTGACAACAGACGCTGCAGGACCGGGAACCATGGTGCGTTCACGCGCTCGGGAGCTACCAGAAGAGCTGTCAGTCCCTCCTCCTGAACTCGGTTCAGGAACCGTAAAATCAGAGGAGGGGGGGGGAACGTGTACAGAAGCGTTTTGGGCCACGGGCTGTGGGCAAAGGCATCCACCCCCAGCGGTGGGTCGTCTCGAGGGCTCAGGGAAAACCATAATTGGCACTGAGCGTTCTCTCGCGTCGCAAACAGGTCCACAGCTGCTTTGCCAAACTTCTGCCACGTCTGAAACATCAGGTCTGGATGGAGGGTCCAGTCCGCGTGACGTGGGCCGCCCCTGGACATCACGTCTGCTCCTCTGTTCAGAACGCCGGGTATGTAAACCGCTCTGATGGAAAGCAGGTTTTGGTGAGCCCAACACAGTAGCTTCCGCGCAATGTGTAACATCTGGGCTGAACGCACACCCCCCTGGCGGTTTATGTACGCAGCAGTCACCATGTTGTCTGTGTGAATCAACACGTGTTGATTCTGTAGCACGGGAGCAAAATGTTGAATCACATTCAGCACTGTGCGACACTCCAAAACATTGATGTGGGCTGATGTGCGGTGGGGCCACAGCGCCCCTACTGCTTGAGATAGGCATGTCCCCCCCCCAACCTGACAGAGACGCGTCCGTGAAGACAGACACATGTGACGTGGGTCTGCTGACGGGGACTCCCTCTGACAGAGCCAGGGTGTTTCCCCAGTGTCGGAGGTCTGCTCTCACGGAGGGAGGGACAGTGATCATCCGTCTCTTTTGTTTTACTGGATCCACACGCAGGCGCGTAAACCACCTCTGGAGGCGTCTCATGTGTAACAAACCCAGCGGGACCACTGTGTGAGCTGATGACATCATTCCCAACAGCTTCATGACGG